CGAAAACTCCAGCGACGCTGCGTGGAAAACGAGAACCCTCACACTGGAAGCAACAAATTTGAGAGCTCAACTCCTGCGACAAGACAGTGGCTTCGGGTCTGGCTCCCTATACCTTTGGCTCGCGTTCCTCTTCCACATTCTCGCCAACTTCCGCAGCCTCTTGGGCGTCCTGATCTACAGGCTTTAAGTGCCCACTCGAAATAACGTAACCGCTAGTCCACTCGCTGCACACGAACTTTGAGATTCGTGGCAATCTCAACAATTGTGCAAGCTCGGCGAACCCAAGCCTATTACGCTTTGTCCTGTGCACACGCTTGTGCGCCACCTAGTTCTTTTCTACATGAGAGGCGAACGTCCACATGTATCTCATGCATGCCCGGGTGGTCTACTATGTGTTCCACCCACCAAGAGGCACACCTAGCCGTCTCGTCATCTCCTATGCACGCACGCCTCGGCCTCCTCGTCTCTCGTCTCTGTGTCTGTTATGTGCCCTATGCGAGAATGGAATGCCTGCATCTGCTCCCGCACCCGCAGATATCGTGCACCTGCCCAATTACCACTTGTTTGTATTTAATTTAACATGAAGGTGTCATACTTTGTAACCACCCCGAGGTCCTCTAGTGTCCTGCGGATAGCATCATAGCAACGAAGGGAGTGTCTGCAGGGGTTAAGGAGATGCGTTGCGGCGTGCGTCGGCTTGAGGATGTGCATCCTTCGAATTTGGACCTGCGTCACACAACTCTCTCATGGCAGGTGGCACATCAGCCTCAGTCACGAGACGCACCAATGAAACGAAACGAGTACGTCATAGACATGATCATCCCACCTCTGTCAAATCTCCTCGACTTGTGCATAGGGGTCGTCACCTTGACAGCATACTCGACATTACGCCAAAAATCGACGCAACGTATCTGATGTTGAACCCACAAGGCCTGTCCCTGCAACCTCAGTTCCCAAGGGATCATATCCTAAGCGTCCTCATCAAACATGCTCTCCAAAGCATCTCATTTGGCAAGCATACATACAAACATCAAGAACACATACGCGAATTGCATCTCCACGGGCTTCATGAGCAATCTGTGGCGGCTCTTTGACATGAAAAGGTGAAGAGTCATGTCGTGCGATTCAATAAATCGCACCAATGCTCGAGCACGCAAAATAGTATCCTTCACTCAATCAATTTGTGTCCCCACGTCTGAAAACATCAAGTTGCAGACATTGATTGCACACGAGAGGCACATGATACGATGTAGCTTGAGATCTGAGTCCTTTGCAAGGATCTTTGCAGCCGACGTATAATTGGTCGTAGAATCCACGCAAATGGCTAACACATCATTAGAGGGAAGACCTAAAGATGGTTTTCCACCTCCTAAGGACGATGGTTGTACCAAACCATCTTGGCACACAGTGGCATACGAAATGGCGTTGTGCTTGCCCGCGGCAAGGAAGTTAACAATTGGCTTCGCGTCTTGCGATTTCCTACCATCTGACAAGATCGTAGCCCACATCGAGAAAAACGATGCTCGGACATTGCTCATCATACCAAACCCTCGTATCTCCTTGAAGGACGGATACATTAGCTGCCAGCCAAAACAGAAAGAAAATAGTGTACCCACTGGCGGTTTGGGAAAGCATAGCGCACAAGAAGGCACCTGCAGGCCTGTGTGCACTGGTGGTTTAAACCGCCAGTACATCCCCCAGGCAAACCTGAGAATCGAATTTGAGCCAATCTGAAAATTTTGGACGCTCGGGGCTGGAGGCACCAACCAAAAGAACAAAAAAAAAAAAAGAAAGCATGTTGCACTGGCGTTTTGGCAAAGCTTGGTGCGCCGGAAGGAAATGCCTTGGCGAAAAGAGGGGCTCGGATGCACTGGTGGTTTAACGACCAGGTTATCTGGCTTCAAAACTTCAACTGGACATCGGCCACGAGAATTGGCTCGACAACACGAATTGCCCGATGTTTCGCTGCCTGTGGGAGGGGACGCATGTCCCAGTCATTGCCACAAAGCCCTCAGCCAAAAGAAATAATAATTGCGCGATCACCTCTGGCAGTTAATGCGTCGACCGACCACCGGCAGGCGATCAAGGAGCACGGGCAGGACGGGAGAAGGGAGCCCTGGATCAAAAGAGGAAGGGAGAACAAAGTGGGTAGCGAAAGGGGAGACAGAAAGAAAAAGGGTTGCAGCCTGGCAACAGAGAGACAGGATAAAAGACCTACCGCCTTCACCCGAATACAATGTACAGTCATTCTAGTTTGCGTATTTCATGCAACTTTGAGTCTAAGCGATAATGACCGACATCCATCGTATTTGGGGGAAGGCGGTACTGGGCTAGGGGAAGAAGGCAAGAACTGGCAGAGTGACAGTTGGCGGAAGGCTGAGGGCTGAGGGCAATAAAAATCTGAAAACGAGAAGTAGCAATTCACCTCCAACAGAGGCAAGCGGGGAGTAAAAGACGAATAACAATATTATATTATTAATAATTGGTGAGTCGCAGCCCCTATAGACTAAGCAAGGGACAGAGGAGGGGTTGGAGTTGATGTGGTCCCGCTACTGCCTTCCCCCGAAAACAACGTAGGGTGATTATAGCAGTATTTGGGTTATCTTTCAGTCTAAATACAGTGAAAATGAACGTAGATTGTATTCAGGGGAAGAAGGTAGGGAGGAATGAAGAGAGAGGAGAGCGTAGGGTGCGAGTAGGGGAGCAGAGTCAGAAAAACGACACTCGCGATGACGGCTAAGAAGGGGAGAGTCTCTCTAGATGATGCATTTTTTTTTCAACACACACAATACACATGGGGGTAATAATCAACCCCTTGACAACCCCCCCAATCACAGGATTAGGAGAGGACTTTGACGTAGCCGGGAGCGAGGAGGAGGGCGAAAGCGCAAAAATCAACATCATCATTGGTGCGTGTTATTTCCATCATCAAGCGATTTCAAGACTCGTTACATCTTCGACTCACACGGATCCTACCGGACCTGACTTAGGGCCGGAGGGACACACCAGGGCCTAAAGGCCCGACCTTTGGGGTTTACAGGCCCTTAAGGCCTGATTTTGGACTATCACCCATCGGGTAGGCCCAAACGACACTTCGTTTGGGCCTGGCGGCGCTCTTGAAGCTGCCACCCGCCGATTGAGGCTGAACCGTCCATCTGGACGGTTCAGGGTCTGGCCTGGCMTCGCAGCATTGAGGCCAGACCATTGCCCACCGGTATAAGTACCGGTATCCGCCTCAGTAGTGGGATCGGCCTACCGGAACTCTACCGGCACGGCAYGGTCAGTGCTAGTGCACTGTTTGATGCGCTAAACTTAGAGCAGGGGCTGAAGAAGGAGCGCAGCATAGCGCAGMAGCGAGCGGAGCAGCAGCGGGCGACTGAGCTTGCACGGCGGTTATTACCGCCTGAGGTATCGGGAGCTTGGAGGGTCTCTCCTCCTCTCCCTCGCCAGTCCCCTCTCTCTCTCTCTCCTCTTCCTCCTTCTTCTTCTTTTTCTTCTTCTTCTTCTTCAGATTGGAGACTATCCAGTTGGACAGAGATCAGAGTTGGATTTCGGTGATACGAGACTGTGGTACTTACCTGATTGGAGACTTGGAGATTGTTGAGGTTGATACTCGGCTGCATCACAGTTGGACACCGGTTATATCTGGACTCTGTTATCTCCGACATTGGTGACCTTTGGTCCTCGACATTTTGATCTTGTTATATGACATTCTGGACTACCATTTCGGAGACCTATCAGACTCTATCTTTGTGACCTATCGGTGTGATCTACCTCCCACCTCCTTCGTCTCTCCTCCCACCTTTCATCTGTGTATGTGTGTACGGGATCTGGGTATCGTCTATGAATGACCCAGACCCCACCATCTCATGATTGTTCGTGTGTGGAGTGATGCCATGTAAGTCAGTTGGTGTGAGTCAGTTGGTGTGAGTCAGTCTATGTGAGTCAGTTCGTTATCAGACTTCCGCTGCATAAATGCTCATCCTATATTGGTTGATCTTTGGTTCTGCCCATACTCATTGAAGTATGTAACAGTTTTGGTATCGGAGCAGACCAAAACGGATCTGCTCACCAGGTAAGTCCGTTTAGAATTAGGTTATCATGTTTGATCTTCTAAATCGGCGCTGAAGTATTATTGTGATTCAAGTTGCAAATTTTTCTTCTTTCTCGGTATTCTGTAAATAGGCATTACCGCTTTTGATTCAGCATTCTGGATTACTCTTTCGGATTCTGTTTCAAATCGGTATGCCATGTAAATCAGGTTCCGAGAAATTCCATCCGAGATGTGTAAAATCGGATTTCTGTTTTTAAAACGAAATTAAGGGAAGCAGTAGTCTGTTAATTCGGCATTCTGATTTCCATTTCGGTTTTCCGTTTTAATTCAGCATTCTGTGAAATCTGATATTTTGTTTTCCTAAAAACGATAGTTCCGTAATATTTCGTTATTAGAATTAGGGTTACGAAAAATTTCGGGTTTTTTTAAGAAGGTGGTAAATTCCGAACGTTTTGAAACCGTAATTCCAAAAATTTCGCCGAAACGCGAAAAATTAGGATTGGGGCCGAAATTTTCGCGGAAATATTTTTCGTTCATCCTCTTGGAGAAATTCCGAAAGACGGATTTAGCGTTTAAAAATCGGATTTTGACGGTGGGAATTCCCGGAATTTCACGTTTTGAAATTTCGAGCGTTTTTKTCTCTACCGAAATTTCCGAAATTTGTTCTGCAAACTAATCTGTATATGACCCTTCAATTGCAACTACCGGGCAGTTCACTTATTAAACGGAGAACTCCTGGTCTCGTAGTAATGTCGAAAGAGACCTAGTCATATTACCATTCAAATTCGTTTTATGATTTTATTGATTAATTATCTCATATTTTTTCATTAATTAAATTTATTGATTAAATCATTAATTATTTTATTACGAATTTTCTGAATTTGTTCCGGGAATTTATTTTCGGGTTTTGATTAGGGGTCTATAGTCCAACAAGTGGGACTGGGGATTGTAGGTGTATTGCTTGATTGTTCTACCCCTGTTCCCACTCTCCCTACCCCCCGTGTTCTGTGATTACCGGGACTTCTCAAGTACCGCATCGGTTCAGACTGATGTCGACGGGACAGGACACCGGGGCACTGCCACGACGCAGTGCCAGAATCGCAGTTCGTGCCCGCCCTGTAGTACCTCAAAGACCGAAGAAACTCAGCAGGCGGACGACTCCAGCAGCATCAAGTACGGCATTGACGGTACAAGACGCCACCGGAGATCATCCCGCATACCCAGTCCGAGGAGCCAATGAGCCAACGGCTGATTATCGTGGGCGGCTACTGGCATTTACGGAAGCCGTAGCTGCCGTCGAGGCCCGGAAGGAGACAGCAGAGGCAGAACGTCAGCGGYTAGCCAATGAAGCGGCAGCCGAAGCTCAGCGAACGACTGAGACTGACGCAGAGACACGAGACAGACGGAATGCCAGCAGCACGGAGTCCTTGCTTGCTTGTGAGCATCAGTGGACGACGATACTCCAAGGCATGATCTTTGTGCCCACGAAAGCGCAGGCAGACCCGACACCGACGGAGGCAGAGAGAAGTAACCTGGCTAACTTGCTGCTGGGCATGATGAGAGGTATTATGCTGCATTCACATCTGCGCACGGACGCGACATAGCGACAAACATACAAGAACGATATGACTGCGTTAACAACTGCTATCCGCACAGAGGCAACGCAGCAGCAACAACAGCATCATCTGTTGAATTCCACTATCACACGCGTCAACAGCATAGAGGCTAACGCCTCAGCAACGCCAGGCTGCGCGACAGACGTGACGAAGCAACTCAACGAGCGCATCGATCACGTCGTCACCATCATCGACGACATAAGTACTTTCAACGGACCAGACTCGATCAGCAGCACGGTGGCCGCCATCAAGACGAACATCACCAAGCTATAGACGAGACCGGAAGCCGCTACAAAGACGTTCAAGATGCCGCACTTCGACGTTAGCAAGTTCGATGATTACAACAAGTCGGACGCCTTGTCATGGTGGCAACGCTTCCTCACAGAAGCATCATGCCGCATGGTCACGGACAACATGTTGAAGGCAGTATATCTGCAGCTGATTGGAGGAGCGCAGGGATGGATGAACCACCTAGCGGCTACACACAAGTGCACTATCGTCGAACTCCACACGCACATTACGTGGAAGGAGTTTGAGCAGCTATGGTTCACCAGATTCATGGTCCGCAACGTCGTGAAGATGGCCATGAACGAGGTCTACACATGCTCTCAAGGGAACATGCCAATGCGAGACTGGGCATCAAAATGGCAGAAGATAGTGACCAGGCCAGGCTTCGACTTGACATTCCCTAATTAACGATCCGAGTTCTTCTCGAGATCGTGCGCAGGATTGCGGTCGACACTCGGCAACGAGTACAACTATACTACGTTCCAGGCCATTCTGGATAGAACGAACCTAGTCATCCAAACGGACGACAAGGCCGCTAACGAGAGGCAATCCCAGCCGCATTATGTGGCTAAACAGGCCTATCAACGTCCGGCACATAACAATGCCGTGTTTTCTAAGGAAATCGACGACCACCACGCTGCGGCAACATCCTCGAGTGATGGAGGAATGGTCGCAGCACTCCCGCCGAAGCGTCCGAAGAGAGTTCGCAAGAACAAGGCGACACAAGAGACAGCGGCGACGGGAGCTGKGCAGMAGCCRTGGASGGCTTATAAGATCACCAAGGAGGTCTATGACCTTCGTCAAAAGTACGCATACTGCCTATGGTGCAACAGTGTAGTACACACTACCGCACAATGCCCTGACAAGGGCAAGGCACGCGTACCCCGTCCAGCCAACTCGGGAAACTGAGTTACGCAAGGAGAGGGGCGACGTCTCTCCTCACTCCGCCGGACCCGGTTGCCTTGCTAGCAATCGATGTCACTACCGGGGATCATGCGTTAGTCGCTGATCCTCATGCTACGTACGAGGATTATGCCGCCCAGCTGGTACCACCATTAGACCAGCCAAGCCACGTGCACTTAGCTAGCGTATGCGCAACCTGTACACCGTCGGCAAGTGATCCGGTCAGTTCGCCACTGATTTCCGAGGACTCGACGGGCGTGGTCAAGACTTGAGGAGCTTGACCCGCTCACGAGAGAGGACTTCGCCTGGATGCCTCTACCCTCGACCGGAACCTTGCCAAGGCCGCATTGCAACGCCTTGATGGCAACTCTACGCTCCTATTTGCACACTACAGTACCAGCTCCGTTGACGGACGACGGGGTAGCGGTTGTCGATCTCCGCTCCTATCTTGCGAAGATTGACCGTGAGTACGCCACCCAAAGGTACGCCGAAACCGACGCACCTTTGCTCTATATCCGCATTCAAATCGAAAAGGCAACCTGTAGTGCCTTGATTGATTGCGGAGCGTCTCGCAACTTTATGAGCCAAGCCTTTATAGCCCGCGCAGGTCTTGGCCCGCGCGTTCGAAGGAAGACGCAACCTACGCAAGTTACACTCGCGGACGGCCGCACGCAAAAGTCAATTGATCGATGCGTTGACGGCGTTCCGGTCTACTTTGCGCCGCTTGCGTGCGAGTCAGTGTCTTTTGACATCCTCGACACCAAGTTCGACATGATTCTAGGCATGTCTTGGTTGCGTAGCGCCGAT